AAATTATACACAAATTAGTTTTCAAAATTATAACATGCGAAATGCATGCGGGACCTGTCTATCATAGTTGCTTTTTCGTGGGACCACTCTATCATAGTAGTACCAACTATATTAAAAAATCAATTAATTATTGCCAAAAATCATGCATGATTGCAATCGATTGCAAGCGCAATTGATTTTTGAACAGCCGAAATGGTTCAAGATGTGGAAATATTTGAAATATTGATTTTTGCGCGGAATAAGTACAGACTCGAAAAAAGCCTATTATTTATGAGTCATTATTTATGACAACAAAATATACGTTATCCGAGTTTGAGATGGTAAGAGGGGTAAAGAGGTTTCAGTCAAAAATTGGCGCTGTGCGTGGGTTTCGGGTAAAGCACAGGTCTTGGGTGCTCCGTGAGAATCAGCTAGTTGCGACTTGGGGGACCTAGAGATCACTCTCTCAAATCAGACACCAGCATGCCAGCTCCGAACCTGTCGGGGGGAGATCTGTGGGGGAGACCTACGACCTAACCTCGGCTGAATCGGACTAGAGCACCCATTGTATAACATGGGAATCAGAGACTTACTATAAATTAAGAAATTCAGAACTAAACGGCCATTTTCAAAACACGTATTATCGATCATTTTGAGAGGTAAAAGTGGAGCTATTATTACGCTGTTCGTAGCAATGATTTTTACTGTTTTATAGGGGGGTCTTCCTTTTTCTCTAACATTATTAAGCGTTCGCTTGTATTGTGCAAAAGTGAAACTATTACTAATATATTACATTATACAGCAACTGTGAATAAATTTTGCACATTAGCATATACAAAACAGATCTACTTTGCATTAATGTGCATACAAATTTGGAGTGTGAAATATATCGAGGCGCTATTTAGCCGAGAAAAGATTGACTTATCTGCGTCATTATTGTAAAACAAATAAAAGCTAGTGTTTTTATGCGCTGAAATCAAATAACCCGAGAATTTGACTTCGTGACAAAAAATATATTACTCCAGCTAAGTATATTCAAATCTATTGCGATTTGCTTTGAAATTGAATACATTCCGTTTATTAACATGCCGAAGCAAAACAAATTGTGAGTATACTAGATTCGGCTGTTATGACAATCGATTTCGGCCTTATGGTGCAGGATTCAGAGTAAACGTGCTTCTGAGCGAATCAACGTGCTTCTAAGAGTCAATCATTTGGCATAGCGCTCTTAAACCAGAATGATATCACGAACAGTTATTTTGAAAAAAAATGAAACTTTAACTTTGGTTCAATTATGAGGAAGGTAAATATTTTGAGATCAATATGACTTGTCGGTACTACTATGATAGAGTGGTGAGGGAGAGGTTTTAAGAAGTAATAAAACATAAATTTGTTTGAAAATATACTGCGACATCTTTCTGAATGGCGAGATCGTAACTATTAAACGATTTGAGAGCTCTATGTGTCTAATTCTCAAGGGACCTGGTTATTTTCAGGGGACCTCATAGTAGTACCGATTTGCCTTTTAATCCCCATCTCAAAGTGAACGTATTGGCATCAAAAACTAAAAAAAGACGGGTCTTATGCACTAAACGGCCCAAAATCAAATTTTCTGTTCAAAGCTGGGATTTTCTGTTCAAAGATTGGGTAATTTTAGCCAATCAAATTCAAGTTAGACGGTCAGGCATCCGATCAACCTTTCCAGCAGATAAAAATATTAGCCGAAATTTCCGACCAAATGGAACTTTGTAAAATAATCAAATTAATTTTGAGTTACTTGTGAAACCTTGCCCAGACAAGAAAAACTTAATAAAATGGCTTAACAAAACAAAAATTCAAATTTTTTTCATCATTTCGGTTAATTTCAGTTCAAGAGATGTAGAAATAATGATTTTGGGCCGTTTTGTGCATAAGACCCAAAAAGACCAAAATTAAACATTCATTTAGCCTAAATTCGTTCAGCCGCAATTAAGTTTTTTTTGATTCAGTGAAAATCTTTGTTTTGCTTATCAGTAACCGAGGCATGAGGGATAATTTTTTCAACAGTTCTGACTAAAAAAATTGTATTGAATATGGTATACAGTACTGATTTAAATTATAAGGACAAAATGAACAAAACTTGAATTTTCAAACACGTTTTTCTCAATTTGGGTTAAGATAAGCCAAAAAGCGAAGAGAACAAAAGTTGCTTAGAATTTCATCAGAATTAATACGGTGCAATTTTTTCTCCAAAATTCTCAACCAAAATATTACCCCAAAAATGGGTCATTTCGGCTTTTTTTTAATTAATCAAGAATTACGCTGAAACTACTCTGTTAACTGATGAGAAATATATATCACAAGAAGCCCCTTACACAGCCCAACAAAATTCTAGAAGGGTTAAATCTACAAAAACCTGTATAAGAGAAAATATTTTTGCTTGATAGTAAAGAAATGTGACTTTCACTATATAAAACCCAGAATCTTTGCTTAAAAACAAATTTTAAACTTTTTACTCAACTTTTTGGAGATTTAATTTTTCTAGAACTTTGTTTGGCTGTGTAAGAGGCTTCTTGTGATACATATTTCTCATCAATAAACAAAGTACTTTCAGCGTAATTCTTGATTAACTGAAAAAAGCCAAAATGACCCATTTTGGGGTAAATTTTTGGTTGAGAATTTTGGAGAAAAAATTGTACCGTTTTAATTCTGATGAAATTCTAAGCCACTTTTGTTCTCTTCGCTTTTTGTCTAATCTTAACCCAAATTAAGAAAAACGCGTTTGAAAATTCAAGTAGAAATAATGATTTTGGGCCGTTTTGTGCATAAGACCCAAAAAGACCAAAATTAAACATTCATTTAGCCTAAATTCGTTCAGCCGCAATTAAGTTTTTTTTGATTCAGTGAAAATCTTTGTTTTGCTTATCAGTAACCGAGGCATGAGGGATAATTTTTTCAACAGTTCTGACTAAAAAAATTGTATTGAATATGGTATACAGTACTGATTTAAATTATAAGGACAAAATGAACAAAACTTGAATTTTCAAACACGTTTTTCTCAATTTGGGTTAAGATAAGACAAAAAGCGAAGAGAACAAAAGTTGCTTAGAATTTCATCAGAATTAATACGGTGCAATTTTTTCTCCAAAATTCTCAACCAAAATATTACCCCAAAAATGGGTCATTTCGGCTTTTTTTTAATTAATCAAGAATTACGCTGAAACTACTCTGTTAACTGATGAGAAATATATATCACAAGAAGCCCCTTACACAGCCCAACAAAATTCTAGAAGGGTTAAATCTACAAAGACCTGTATAAGAGAAAATATTTTTGCTTGATAGTAAAGAAATGTGACTTTCACTATATAAAACCCAGAATCTTTGCTTAAAAACAAATTTTAAACTTTTTACTCAACTTTTTGGAGATTTAATTTTTCTAGAACTTTGTTTGGCTGTGTAAGAGGCTTCTTGTGATACATATTTCTCATCAATAAACAAAGTACTTTCAGCGTAATTCTTGATTAACTGAAAAAAGCCAAAATGACCCATTTTGGGGTAAATTTTTGGTTGAGAATTTTGGAGAAAAAATTGTACCGTTTTAATTCTGATGAAATTCTAAGCCACTTTTGTTCTCTTCGCTTTTTGTCTAATCTTAACCCAAATTAAGAAAAACGCGTTTGAAAATTCAAGTTTTGTTCGTTTTTTCCGGGTAATTTAAACAGCACTGTACAAAAGGGGGGCTATTCTCATGCGCGAAGGACTGAATGGGGGCTATTCTCATGCGCGAAGGATTGAACGGGCAAAAAATCTGGTGAGCAAAGGACGAAAACGAAAATAGCCGAAAGTCAATTTTTAAAAGGAAGCAATTGCCATTCAATTAAAATGAATTAAATGAAGCCGTATTTTGCTTCTTTCATAACGAAATCCTTGAAATGTAAATTTGTTTCAATTCAGCGGGGGGAGGGGGGCGGCAAGTTAACATCAAGCAAGTAAATTTGCTAAGCGCTGCAAGTAAAATGCTCGATTCTGATTGGCTGAAAATTCTCAACATAGGACCAAGCTAAGGATCTTCTTAACTATTCCCCACCCACCCCCCTGTTTAGAAAGAGGAGGGAGCTTCTTTCATAAGATAAGACAAAAAGCGGGTTAAGATTAGACAAAAAGCGAAGAGAACAAAAGTGGCTTAGAATTTCATCAGAATTAAAACGGTGCAAACGGTGCATTTGACAAATTTTACATCTCAAGGATTTCGTTATGAAATAAGCAAAATACTGCTTCATTTAATTCATTTTAATTGAATGGCAATTGCTTCCTTTTAAAAATTGTTAAGTAGATTAAATAATCGAATTTTCGACCAATCAGAATGCAGCAAAATTATAATTCTCAATACAAAGCTCTAGCGCTAATTTACTGTATTTATTCATAGGGTGGAGATTCTTAAGTAGATCCGAAATTTGTACTATGTTAACGGAGGCGGAGCAATAAGCAGAATGGTCTAAGAGCAGAATGAGTCCAAGAGCGGAAAAACAGAAAAAAATAACTTAAACTGGTTTATACGGGCTAATTGATAAAAAAATTATTAGAATCGTCAAAAAATACCAAGAAAATGAATAAATTATGCATGAATTGAATAATTTCATTAAGTTTTTTGATTGACTTTTTTTTGAAAAATCTTGATTAAATTACTCAAATTATGGATAAAATGTTCGTTGTTCTGGTATTATTGACATTTCTGATAATTAATTTACCGATTAGCTTGAAAAAGTTTTTTTTCTTCAGTTTTTCTGCTCTTGGACCCTTTCTGCTCTTAGACCATTCTGCTTATTGACTGGCCACCTATGTTAACAATTTCCCCCTTATTGCAATAGCGGGGGGGGGGGGATAGTTAACAAGATCTCAAGTTAAGATCCTCCCACCCCGCCAACGGCTTTGGGGGCGTGGAGGATGTTAACTTGGTCCAATAAAAGTCTGTTGAGCCAAAAAATACCACCCAAAGTTGGGCAAATGTGTTATTTAGTGTTAGTACAGTTTTTTTTCGCCAGCTAATGACGAAGGATCCCGAGCGACGACTGGGTTCGGGGGAGTCGGGGGAGCAGGACATCGAGAGCCACGCCTTCTTCAGACGCATCTGCTGGGACAGACTGGCTCGCAGAGAGATACAGCCGCCATACATACCCAACAGGGCAAGTGCTCGTTCAATTTCTAGCTCTTGTAATTAAGCTGCGTAGACAAGGGTCGCCCTCCCCCTTTAATGGTAAAATATACTCCGCTAACGTTTTTTTTCCAATACCCAACTGCCCCAATACATAATGAGTCTCTTAGTATATTCAGTGACTAATGAAACGTTTTTTTTTGTTCTTGTTTTTCTTTAATGATATTGTACCTGCTCAGCCCAAACTCCAAGTTTGTAACTGCAAAAGTTGATGCAACATTTATAAGATCTCTTTAACCAGTGGGGGGGGGGACGCCCATCTGCAGGGATTCGACCCCCTGCCGACCCAAAGGGTCCCCCTTTGGTACTTTTTAGGAAATCGATTTTTGGTCGACCGACCCTAAAATTTTTCTAAAGGCGCTTTGGGCGCCAATATATACTATTTTTGAGGGGGAGCGCAGGCCAAAAATAAGCAATTTTTGTGTCAAAATTTTCCAAAAAGTGCACAAAACGGAAAATCAATTTGGTCGACCTAAAAAAACGTAATTTCTGTGTCAAAAATTTCCAAAAATTGCCCAAAAACCGAAAATCAATTTGGTCGACCTAAAAAAAGGTCGCCAAAATTTTCGAAAATTTTTTGAATATCCCCCCTCCCCGAGAAAATCATTGATCCGCCGCTGTCTTTAACTATTCCCCCTCGGGTACCTAGTTACAAACATTCCCCCGATTAAGATTTAAATCAACTGTTAAGCATATCAGAATTTTATACCTACTAACGAATATACCCCTTTTTCAAAAGGGGTGTATAGTTTAAGAGATCCCAATTGAGTCTCTCTCACACACTTCTTAAAAACTACAAATGAAATTTAGTTTCTATAAGTTCCGAGGGCTCTCACAATTATGAGTTGTGTAGTTTGAAGAAGTTGTTCCCTAATTTCTTCCGAGGAAATGCTTAAGGTTGTTTTAGAATTCGGACGCGGACACTTCCCATTTCGACCGTTCGTTCACCCGGCAGCAAGTGGAGTGGACTCCATCGGACAAACTGTTCCTCATCAACCTCTCGGGAGACGAGTTCGACGGATTCTCCTTCGTCAACACAAAAATGCCTCTGGTCGAAACTGACAAAGTCAACGATAGCAACAACAAAAATGAAATCAGCAATTTTGACTTCAGTGAAATCAGTAAAAACGGTTCTAAAAGCAGCAACCTTAGCACAACTCTATGAAATCTGAATCTATTATTGCGGGATCGAGTGATTTTAAGAGTTGCTCAACTGGTATCAAATTTGTATCTTTCGGAGACTATACTCTTCAGGAAATTTATGCTCATTTGACTCGTTTCGACTGTGCAACTGCCTGTTTTGTTCCCTCTTCCTACAAAATTATTAACAAATTGTAGAGATTTCGAAATTTGATAATTTTAATAAGCTCAAATAATTTGACTAGTTATTATTGAACAATTTGCTCTATAAAATTTTGAAATAAACTTTTTAATAAACCAACAAACTTTCTAGGAGCTTTTCAATAACAGAAACATAGAGTGAAAGCGGATTCTTTAACCACAAGATGACCATGCAAAGTTTCGTAGATCGAACCCCAGCATCAGAGCGTGCCGATGCAGAAGACTTTTCAACAATGGGTCCCCCATTTTTATATGAATTTTTCAAAATTGTACTGTTTTACAAAAATAACGATGTTTTTGGGCACTTTGGGCCTTTAAGCGTTATATTTGACCAAAAACTTGCTCTAAAACTTCATTAAACAAATGATCCCCGCAGTGTTTTGGGAGAGCAATATGGAAAATCAATTTAGTCATCCTAAGTTTAGTTCAACAAAACATTGATTGCCGCTCAGGCCCCAAAGGATTCTGCTAGCAGCAGAATTTAGCAAATTTGGCAGAATTCGGCTTATGGAGCAGAAAAATTGTATCGAGCAGCAGATGAGCAGAATTTAAATTATACGACAAGATTTGTCTGTTTCTCTCAAAAATAACGAAATAAAACACGCAATTCTACATCTCGGAAACACCAAATACGCAAATATGCTCTACCCGACTAAATTTCTAACAAAAACTGCTCTATTTTTCAGAAACACACAAAAACATGAATTTTTTTGCGACTAGAGTAAATTAGCGCTAGAGCTTTGCATTGAGAATTCTAATTTTGCTGCAATCTGATTGGTCGTAAATGCGTTATTTTTATCTACTTAATAATTGCCCCCCCCCCCTCTTTCTTAAAAAAGAGGGGCAATTGTTAAGTAAATCCGAATATTCAAGTGGAATCCTAGTCTCTTATCGTGTCGTTTAGTTTGATGGGTAACTTCAATTTTTTGGTGACTGAGGCCATTTGTGTGACTGTTTTTTGATTTTCTGATTAGCACATTATATTTGAAACACAAAAGTTTCATTGAAAAATTGAAATGAGCAATTAATTTTAAAAACAACCAAAAAAAAACTTACAGTTTGTGTAATGAGGGGGTTTAGTAGGCTAAATATGACTGACGATCAAATTTAATTGAAATAGCGTAATTAGCAAAAAATAACTGGAAAAAACATGCAGGTGGGAGAATGAAAAAGAGCCGCGTACAAAATACCAAGCAAAAGTGCCTTATTTTTTTTCATGAAAAACAAAAAAAATCTAACATTTTCTCATATAACGCCTTCCTCAGTTATGGTTGCCAAAAAAATTGAAAAATGGAGGCAGTTTTTTGAAGTAGTTGAAAAAAAAACGTATGTTTTTGGGCGCGAGCTCTTCTTAATTTTTATGTATATTGGCAAATAGCTTTCTTACAAGTTTTTTATTGGGTCGTTTACCAACTGGATGGAGTACAAAAATACCAAAACTCAACTGTGTTGGCAACCATAACTGAGGAAGGCGTTAGCTGAAAAAATGTTAGGTTTTTTTTTTGTTTTTCATGAAAAAAATAAGGCACTTTTGCTTGGTGTTTTGTACCCGGCTCTTTTCCATTCTCCCAACTGCATGTTTTTTCCTGTTATTTTTTGCCAATTACAATTATATTTCAATTAAATTTGTGCGTCAGTCATATTTAGCCCTTCATTACACAAAAAATTGTAAGCTGATGTAAGGTGGGGCAATTTTTAAGTAGATTGAAATAACGCATTTTCGACCAATCAGATTGCAGCAAATTTAGAATTCTCAATGCAAAGCTCTAGCGCTAATTTACTGCTTTTATTAATAGGGGTGGCAATTTTCAAGTAGATACCAAAGGGAGGGCGATTGTTAAGTAGATCCGAATATTCTACCTTACATGCCTAATTTAGCTTATATATACCTTTTTTTTGGAAAAGTCCAACAACCAAAGTTCAGCAGCCTATGGAAAAGTCCATCAACCAAAGCTTAACAGATTTTGATAGTCGCAGAATTATTCCTAAAATTAGCGTTGAATGAAAATTAATCATGATAGTCTAAAATGAGGCGCGACATTCTAAGAATCAACTGCAATAGTCTGGACATAAAGATGACACAGTCAGCAGATATATCCCGGACTTGTAACCTGCGGATGCTCTTAAAAAGAAACACAAGAAGCAAAATGAGCTTCAATTTTCAGTAAATAAAAAAACGAACACGGCAAAAAAATCTAAATTTTGAAAAGCATATACTTTTTTCAAAAGTTCAAATGTTATGCAGAAAATAAATTGCAAAGATTAATAATAATATTTAGAATAAACCGCACCCAGTTTCAAGAGATAGTAATTGATTATATTTTTATTTATTAGCAGGCTTACTGAAATTGTAAAAAACTATCATAATATATTATTAATCAATTATAATCTATTGATATCCTTATTAAAACATATTAAATTTCATTTAAATTATAAACAAATATAATTATTTATAGTTGATTAACTTTTTAGGATAAGTTCCAGGCAATTATAATCGCAATCGATTATTTGTACATTTCGAATTTCAAAACTTCGAAGTCCAAAAATTCTGAAATTTGACATGTCAAAAAAAACTGAAAAAAGCTTGAAATGTGCTCGAAATTGGCGTATATTAGCATGAGTCATACCATTTAAATATGGCGCCCTCATCACAATACATAAAAAAATCTCATAATTTATAGAAAAACTAGAAAAAGTCGAGTACCATTTAGTTAGTTTTAATAGTTAGTTATTTAGTTAGTTTTGCTATAACCCTTTGGTTAGTTATAACCCTTTGGTTAGCACTCTTTGATTAGGTCTAATACCTCTAAACCCAGATGAACAACCTCTCGCGTTGACCCAGTCCTGCCGAATCTCCGCCGCTCGAAAAATATATTTATTTTAAAATTCTTATTAGTCGGAACTGATAATAAACATGGTAAATGGTTTACGCAAACAATGGAGACCTTGTAAAATTACTCGATTTGAATTCTAGTCAACTGAGAGATTTGAGCTGTCTACCCAGGAAAATTCTTAAAAATTCTTTTTAGTTTGAGAAAACCAGTTATCATTTTCATTGACGCGCCAATCAAGATGTTTTTAGCTGTATACCAAATCGTTGAGCGAGACCCAATTAAATTGAAAATTTTCAATATGAAATAAACAAAAAAATCTTCAAATGGGGGCGATATTAGTTTATGGAGGGCTTATATTGGAGCGTTTTTATTTGCTAATTTTCTTTACCTGCACCAACCTCGTGCTCAAGGCAGCCAACTATTCAATTGCTGCTCATAGACCTGTAGACATTTTAGAGAACTACATTCTACTGAATAACATTCAGTTCTTTTATAAGTTGTTAATGATTAGTAATGTTTGTAAATCATTTTTTTTCGGCAATGTTTTTTGAAGTCAGGAATTATAAGGCCCTATAACCGATTATAAGGGGTTTACTGTATGATCTATAATCAATTATAACAGAATATAAGAGATTTAAAACTCTTGGAAAAAATCACAATTATAATGGATAATAAGAAATTATAATCTCTTGGAAAAAATCAGGATTATAATCGGTTATAAAAGATTACAATCTCCTGGAAAATATCACAGTCATAATCGATTACAAATCCTTTAAAGACCTAATTTTGGTCATTATAATCAATTATAAATGTCAAAAATCATCGTAATAACCCGTTATAACCAATAACTTACGCCTAAACTTGGATGCTGGTATAGCAAAGGAAGTTCAAAGCCGCGCTGGTTGCTTCTTATTTTTCTTCGATTGCGCGTCGCTGTTACTTTTTGTTGACATGCCATTCGCGGTTAACTATTCATCAATTGCGCCGTTCGCGGATAATTTTTTTGGGTTTGCGAAGTCCGACTTGAAAATAACCACTGATAGTTGCGACCTTTTGGAAAAACCTAATTTTGGTCGGGACAGTCTGAAGATTCCAAAGGATCCGGTAGTTTGATTATAAAACGACAATATAATGACCCTCAGGACCTTCACAATATAATCACTTGCTTCAGTCATTAATTAAGTTGAAGGAAGGTTTATTCTCAACACAATGAGTTAATACTCGAAAAGTATTTTTTGAATAAGAAGAGTGCAAAAATGCAGCTCAAAGTCTGATAAATTGTTTCGAATTTTTTAAAAAAATTTTTCAAGTTGTACTTGAAGGGTAAGGATTTTTTGTAAGGAGGTTCCCCCCCTCTCAGGGATTCGACTTCTTGCCGACCCAAAGGGTCCCCCCTTTGGTACTTTTTAAAAAATCCATTTTTGGCTGACCGACTCTAAAATTTTCTAAAGGCGCTTTTGGCGCCAATGTATATTAACTTTGAGGGGGAGCGCGTATCAAAAAAACGCAATTTTTTTTGTCAAAATTTTCCAAAAAGTGCCCAAAAACGGCTTTTTTGACCTGTTTTTTCAAAAATTTGCCTGCGGCGCAGAAAAGTTTACCAATACAGCGTCTTTTAGTGCTTTAGGAGAGCTCGGAAAACTAATTTGGTCGACCTAAAAAAAAGTCGGCAAAATTTTCGACAATTTTTTGAAAATCCGCCTCCCCCTTCCCCCCCTCGAGAAAATCCTAGATCCGCCCCTGGACACCTATACTTCTTGATAAAATGTTTGTTCAAAATTTATTGCTATAAAATTTTTTCTTGATATTGTCACTTAATTCTTGAATTATCAATACTATGATCTCTATGATTGTACAATTGTTATTTATATTTAATCAATTATTTTTTTTTCAGCTAAAATTGTAGCAATTTCATTGCTATTAGGGTGAACATAACTGATGAAGTAACAGGGTTGCTTTTTTCGCTCAAATTATCTTTGAGGTTTCCTTTTCCACTTGGGCTTTCGGCTGGTCCATCGTTTTGACCTTGACCTCGAGTCTTTCCATTCTCGCGATCGCCCTTTCCACCGAATAGATTGTTTCCTTTTCTACTGACTCCACCTGTCCAGGTTTGCTCCTCCTTCATTTGGGCATGGAGAAAAGAGAGGATCTCGTCTAGCCATATCATCACGTAACCACCTGGCGTTTTTCCACAGTAGGGATCTCTGGGTCCGAAAGAGGTCACTCCACATATATAAGTTTGGCCTGAAAAATATTTGTCTCATAATCGCTTTCATTGTATCCAATTTTCAGATTTAATGTTTATTTTTATTCCACAATAAAGCCGGAACACAAAAACAATCTGTGAGCAAATAGAAAAAAAGGACTGGAAATAAAATTTACCGCAACTTTTCTTGGTTTTTTTCCCAGGATATTTCATTGAATGAACTTATACGCACCAGCGGATATAGGGGGAGGAGGGACGCCTTCCCTCAGGAATTCGAACCCCTGCCGACCCAAAGGTTCCCCCTTCGTACTATTTTGAGATATCCACTTTCGGTAACGGACCATAAAATTTTTTAAAGGCGCCTTAGTCGCCAATATATACTAATTTTGAGGGGGGGGGGGGGGGCGCCGAAAATTTTTTTTTTGTCAAAATTATCCAAAAAAAGCCTAAAAACGCTTTTTTTTGGCCTGTTTTTTCTAAATTTTGCCTGCGGCGCAGAAATTTTGGTCAAAATGTGGTTTTACAGTGAATTATTGGAGCTCAGAAAGTCAATTTGGTCTAAAAAAAGGTCGACAAAATTTTTGAAATTTTTGGAAAATCCGCCCCCCCTCCTCGAAAAAATTCTACATCCGCCCCTGCTTATAAGAATATAATATTACTAAAGACTATGTTCGGCTTTAAATTTTGGTTTCTATTATTTCGGACACAGGACTTTTGGTTCCGTGCACTATTTGCTCAAATTTTTGTTTGCTCTGTAGATTTGTTTGCTCCCATAAAAATTTGCTTTTCCCAAAATTTCCCCTCCCCAATATGTTTCAGATACTTACGTTTCGATCGTCACGGCCAAAATTTTGTATGTTTCGACCGTGCTCGACCGTTCTCGCCCCAAGCAAGAAACGTATCGACCGAAAAATGTGCTCGACCGTGCTCGACCCAAGGCATATATGCTTCGATCATCTCGGTCAAATTCCGCGTCAAATTCTCGATAAAACTCGTTTACTCTCGACTGTCGTTTCGTTTACTTTCTCGATATTGATTTTTTCGTTTGATTCATCTCAGTTTGCAACAAACACAACCAAACATTTTTTTAAATTAGTCTCAAAAGTCCACAACAGTTGATGAAAATTTCAAAAAATTTGTTAATGATTTTTTGAGACCATGTGCAGTCCTGTATATTAACAGCAAATATGCCAACCTAGCCAATTGCACATTAAAAATACTTCTATCCTGGGCTATTGAGGGTTAAAAGTACAAATATCCTGGGCTATCGTGGGTCAAAATGTGCGTGGTGACAATTAATTCAATTAAATCAAATAAGACGAAACGAAACGAACTGCACGAGAGAAAGTACCCAAATCTACTTAACCTTCATCCCCAATACATTCCAAAGCTCCACCAGAATCACCAGAACAGGCGTCTTTCTTCAATTGGGGACCAGTGCCGTCTCTGTTTTTGGTAATGCCTCCAGCAAAAAAGGTTCTTTCCAGCTTGCCTTCTGTCAGGACAGACTGTGGGTTGTCTTTTTTCGTTTCGTATTGTCTGGCCCACTTTTCTCGATCGGCAACCCTCACTTCGACACTCTTTTTGTTTAAAAAGGAAACTGATCAAAAAACGAATAAAACCAAGCTTGTGTGAACATTCAGATACCAACTTGACGTGACACTAGCCACTTTTCGGAGGTTAAAATTTTGTTGGAATCTTCAACCAAAGAGAGCTAAAATGGTGTAATTGTTATAGTTTGTTGTTTTGATTACTGAAAAGGTGGAGGCAGTGAATAAGACAAAAAAATGTACAGCAAGAAAAAAGAAGAAAACTAGTCCAAAGAGACCAAAAAAGTGTTTTTTCTTGATATTGCACGTCAAAACAAAAAATGTATTATGGCATTGAGTAAGAGAAAAACTTGTACAGGAAGAAAAACACTAGTTTGATTCGAGGAAAATAGATCGATAGACAATTTGTGAAAAAAACTAGAAAAAACTAAAATTTTTAATTGAAACCTAAAATCAATGAAATTTTTTGCATTATTTTGACTTTCCAATGTCTTCATTTGATTTTGCAAACAAATTGAATTAAAATTAAAAAAAACAAGAAACAAAGTGCAAAAAAAAACAGTTCTTAGCGCAAAAACGTATTAAAAATTTTATGAAATGATAAATCAAAAAAAACCACAGAGCCTAGAAAAGTGTGTTCGGGGACATTTAATCATATCCTCATTTTGGACTTGTTGTTTTCAAGGTTGCTGCTTTTTCATCGTTTTTCAAATCGAATATATGAAATAAAATTCAGCACTACTGGCACAATTTTCTCAGGTGATTCAAACGTATTTGTTCTAACAAACAACTAATTTAGAAAGAACGTTTTTTGGTCAAGTTGATTTTCCCCACGAAAAACTAAACGCTTCAAAAAAACAATTTGGAAAATTTCTCAGTACTTAATTGTTGCTCGGTTACTAATCCCCTCCCCTTTGTGAACATTTTACATCCATTTTGGGTGTACCAACTCAAAAATAATTCCTTACCTCGCGAACTACTTTTCAATAGGTCAGCTTCAGTGTTAGTGATTTTCATTTTCTGGGTTAGCTGCCACAGATAGATTTTGTGAAAACAGTCAATTCAGATTTTTCAAAGTCTAGTTACTAAAGAGTTGAAAAAGCGTTAGTGTACGCGGTTGAACAGAAAAAGTTTACTGGCTTGTGTTTTGAAAAAACTTCAAATTTCCTAATTCAAAAAATATATATACTCGCCCTCACAGTTCTTTGAATTGAAATAACAAATCATGATTTTTACAGTTTTTTACAGTGAAAAAACTGGATTAATGGATAAATTTTTTAATCCGCTGGGAAGTCTAATATATAAAATCCACTTTCAAAACTAGAAGTTATTCAATTTTTTCTTAAATTTTACACATTTGCTGCGCGATATTGGAATTTGTTTTCTTTAACCAAAAGAAACAAACTAAACTCAAAGACAAAGACTGCTCGCATATCAGGGCAAACCCTTGAATGTTCCAACTGCCCCTTAATCCATATCGAATGTTTTTTGTACAGAAAACATTGAAAAGCTTCATAAGTTTTGGACAATACCGAACATCATGTGTAAAATTTGAGTCGTACAAATTATTACGACCAATAAACTTGCCGCCTCAATTCAATTTGGAACAAATTTGTTGTGCGGGATAATTCGCCACGCATAAATAATTCGCTTTACATTTTTAGCATTGTCAATAAAAGCTTCAAAGCGCGCATACTTAAGTCCGGAACATAGCCAAACTGGCAACTTTTAAACTTCCAGAACTTTACAAAAATTGATCGGAAGTAAAAATATCTTTTTAAATATCTTATTCCTCAATGGGGTATAAAAAATATTGATGAAAATTATTTTTTCGATCGCCGAAATTTGACAGAATAAGAAAAACACACCAAGCATAAAAATTCCGTTTTCTTCGAAAACGGGCACAATAAGCAGTCAAACAGAGAAAAATCAAATTTAAACGTGAACAATGTTAAGGACTTTTCCTGATAAAAATCACGACCCAAATAAATGTCTTCACTACGTTACTTGACACTTATTTAGTTCAATTCTTTCCACTTTCTATAATCATGATTTTGCGGATTCGTTACCCTATAATCCATTGATAATAATTTGACAAAACTTTATTCCAAAAAATGCAGATGAATTACCTGTAAGAGATTCGGCATCACGTTTTCTACAGTACATGCAGGGGGGTCCTTGCATGTGAGTCCCCACCCTACAGCAGTGACCCACTCTTTTTGCGCTGGATGGTTTGTGCTGTTTTTGGGCAGAGCGATTGGACTCACAGAATGAGAAAACTTGATTGGTTCTTCCAATTTGATCAAAACTAAGTCCACGTTTAGATTGCTGTGGAATATTATTTGGTATGTAGATTTGTCGAGAGCTACAGGCTGTGGATTTCGGTTACTACGTCCTTTCATCAAATGGATGTCTGTTGTTTCGAGATTTCTTTTTTCCAGACAATGGCGAGCAGTAAGAACTAAACCAGGAAACAAAAATCTCAATATCAGCAACATAAAGACGATAAAAAGCAAGTATTTATTGATGTTCCACCAATATTTTGAAAAAGTGTACCAAATATCTGACTCGCCGCTCGCCGTAGACATTGCATTGAAAATGAATCTTAAAATAGTCTATCCTAACCAGTCAAGCAATCAAAAGAAGAACTAGGAATTTCTAGTACGGATAAACTGCAGATTATGAGAACTGGATACAATCCGGGTCAAAATTTTCTGGAATCAGGTGAACAATCTCCTTCGTAATTCAAATTTGAGCATCCTAAATGCACGCCTTACTACTTGAATACGTCATTTAGTTTTAGAGGGGAGATAGTTCATTTGGTCTATTAAGGACGAGATTGTTCACATGGCCCTTTTGATGAAAGGGAAGAAATTAGCTCAATTTTCAATTTCATTGCTCAACAAACCACAGCAAATTGATACCCAAAGGTTACTAGGATTTGGCCAATCTGCTTTTCTTTTCATTGCAAAGTTGGGTTCTCTAATCCTCATTCATCACCCACTAGATCTGCTATCAGCATGTCTAAATCATGTCTATTTTATATAACACTGCAAGCAGCGACAAACTTTGGAGACAGCTTACTGTGAAAAAATTGATGAAACTACGAAAGCAATGGTTTAAAAGTTGAGCTAATTCTTCTCGTTTTTCTTCAGTTTGGCTCCTGTAGGACTTTTTCTAAGCATTTGTCATTGAAAACAAATCAATAAAAAGAGGGCCAATGTTGAACCCAGAAGCGAAAGATTTCACGGGATGTTTTATATTAAACTCTACCTCCAGTCAAGGTCCGCGATTTACGTCAAGACTTTCGTGGCCTATTCTTGCCATCACCAGACGTTCGCGACCAAAACTTGGCATTTCCGAACTTCCGATGCGATTTCTGCGTCCACGAAGGAAATGGCGCGAACGGTTTATTTCAGGAAATGGCGCGCAAACCGAGAGGCAGAATAAACATAGGCCTTGTCCAGATTTATGAGTCCAAAACGATCTGTCATGACGTTTGCGACTAACGTGGAGACGGTACAACCGGCGCGACTTGACATGCAGAGGCTCGAAATGCACGATGAATATCGGTCCTGTCTAGACTCTCGCAACAGAAAATCAGAGCGGCTTTCGAGATCAAAGTGGAGACTGCGCAATTCGACATGCAGTGGCTAATATCGGCCCTGTCTTACCTTTTCGGTACCAAAAAAACCGTTGCGACTTATGCGACCAAGCTAAAGGCTGCGAGACAAGGGCGAGCCGATATGCAGCGAGACGACTGGCGTAACCAACATCGGCTTGTCCCGACATATTTACGATTTGATTTTCTGGCCTAGGCAGTTTCGCAAGTTCAGAGGTCACGGTAGACATTGCAAAAGAATGAAGTAACCTGAAAAGAATTGCTAAAACATGAAATGCGCTTTGTGGAATCCAATTATTTTTCGGGCACTCATTAAAAGCCATTTCTTATGTCAAACTCCGATTTTCTATAAAACAGTTTCGGAAGAAATACTTATCCCATCTGCTCAATTTCAAAAAAACAAACAAAGTTTCAATTTCGATACTTTTTGGTAAGCATTTTTAATGTTACTTTCTATTTTGAAATTGTCTCAGATTTTTTTTACCAAGAAAGTTTCATTACCTGGCCAAATTGTGTATTTTTTGAATTGTAAGCGGACTCCGTAACAGACCAAAATCAGATTTGACACAGAATCCGCAACATTGTTAGTTTTCAGAGAGAACAAATAGCTAAAACATTGTATTGCTCAAAATCGCTCCACAAGCAGCTTATTTTGCAGAATCCGCAACAGAAGTAAGCGGAATCGCAAACAGTTTGTAAAACCCACAAACAAACAACAATATATGCGTTTGGTAAATTTGCGCTGTCACGGATTCCGCAACTGTACGCAAAAATTGCAAACTGTAAGCGGAATCCGCAAATTGTATGCGGAAGCTAATTTTTTTTGCAGAATCCAGTAACAAACATAGTTACGTCTTTCAATTTAATCCATTTTTTTTACCAAGCTTGTGGGTCGTCAGCAAGTTCAACCTCAATTACTGCCAATATTTTGAAATCAATAGCTAAATCCACCGTTCCTTTCCAATTTAATTTCAATCTCAAATACTGAAGATACTGAAGTGAAAATGCTGAAGTAAAATAATTCATCACTTAGGATGCTGAATTATAAATAACCTACAAATAATATCATTTTAACCTAGATTTCATCGCAATATTTTCATGTTTTCATGATTTTTAAGTTAAGTTTAAGATTGAAGGCAAGACTTAATCCAAAATTCAGTTTAAATTCCAAGATAAAAACAGTACGAGTTATTGAACAGTAAGAATCCGCGACAAAACTAATGTGCCGACAAAAGTTACTTTACACTTTTTTGTACGCGGAATCAACGGAATTTTTGTAGGTGGAACCCAATTACATTTGTGAACATGTCAAAAGACTTGCTCCGACTTGCAGTGACTCACAGATACCACATTGTGAGCCTAGCTGTTGCACACTTTCGCTTAGTGATACTTTATAAGTTAAAAAAGAGTCGAAATATTCAGGGTTTTGTCCCGATATCAGCAGACTTTTTCAGATAAAACTAATAATAATCAAACTGATAGATGAATTTTTTGAAGATACATATTTCTCAGCGACGGTTTGTTACAATGACAATTTTTTTTTATAAAACATAATTTATCAAATGTAAACGGAACTTTAAAATTTTACAGTCTGTTAGAAAGCGCCGTTTTAAATTCGAAATAACCACGCAATCTGAAAACATTTTTAAAAGCTTTTATGAAACTACAGAATTTGTAAGAAATCACTGTGAAATGGAAGGCTACTTAAGTATTCTGAAATTATGCTGCCACCACATGTGGATCCCCCAATGGACAGACACACAGACCAAGGGTGATCAGTTATGTCTGCGTCCACTCCATTGATGATTCTCTCTCCAGCATAAGCAGAGTTCCCACTGACGGACGTTCCGGGGAAGGGCTTGGGCAAGCACCCGGGGTTTGGATCTCTGTAGTCGTCACTCCAGCAAATTTGGTCGTTCTGTAAAAACACAGAGACCGTTTTTTGAGATTAAGATTGAGTGCAACACAGCTTTGATTAGAAGCATCAAGGAGAGGGAATGACTTCTTAAAAAACAATTGTTTTAACTTATGATTTCGATCTCAGATTTATACAACATGTAGATGGCACAGTGGACCAAAAAACGCTCGCTAAACGAGTTTGTGAAGTTCTAAGCTATTTTAGTTTCGAGCATTGGCAGTTTTCATTCATTCCAGCTGTTTTTATGCATTTTATCTACTAAAATTGCAAGTTGAAATCTATTATGTTCAATCTTAGGTTGAATCAAAATTTTTGCGCCCTATTTGAAAACCACGCTGACCGAACTCATAGCCGAACTCAATTTTCAGCTCAGACATTTGCGACGAAAAAATGGAGTCGCAACTCTCAATCTCGGTACCAGATTGGTACGGTTATTCAGTAGATAAGTTCTTCAGACTCTACCCGCGGGCAGCAACCCTGTTAGCCTTATTAACCCGGAACAGCTATTTAAAAAACTTACCGCACATGTAGTAACACCTTGATATTGTTGGTTTGAATTTGATTCACATATAAATGTCTGTTCACTCTCACACTTCACTTGATTCAAACTCACTCCTTCTTTCTGTGACGTCATCAGACACGGAGATTGGTACAAAAAGAGAGCATTCCTGGTCGACAAGGGCTTAACTTCATTTTGATTTACATTTTTTTCGAATCTGTTCTCAAAAAAGCCAGAGAATTTGCCTGCTTTATTCTGCCTGATGGTCAACCTGGCTTCTATCCAAGATAAGCTTTCTGCTCTGAAATAGTCAAAATCTGCGATTTAAAGTCTTATAGCAGAAAAATATTTGTACAGAATTTTTTGACTTCCAAAGTTTCAATTAAATTTTCTTCCAACACAGAGAGAAAAAATCATCAAATAAGGTGCTTATAATTATAATTAATATTCAATAGAAATTTTTTTTGTCGGGTTTTGAACCGATTTCCCTGAAACTTGCTAAGTAAAATGAACCGTTGGATTTTTGTTGATAACGACTTTTTTGATAATCATTTTTTCTATATCTCCCAACACGCAGAAATTTTAAGCAAGTTTTGTTATTCATTAACAGCTGTCCGACTAGTTTTACCAAGTAACTTAATCTAGATGATGTATTCACTAAAGCAAAAATTTTGATGAACTCTATGAACATTGATTGCGTTGTTGCGAACATGCTTAAAGCTAAGATATCTAGATGCGGTGGGTTCTCGAAAAAAAGCTTAAAGTTTTTTTTTCAAACGTATCGAGAGCTCCCCGGAAAAAACGAAAAAAGACCGCAGAAAATTGATAGGAAAATAAAGTCCAAGCTAACGTTTTAAGACAACTTTCGATAAAAATGGAAAAATCTTGCTAACCCTGGCCTCAGAAATGTTATGAATATGAATCAAAGATAGTTATACAAAAAATTATGTCCCATCGGCCATAAAAGGATTTCAGATAAAAACTCCACCCTGATTATATTTTTGCAGAAAATAGGAAAATTTTCAACCCCAAATAGGCTCCTCATGTCTTCTTCTGAATAAAATTTTAGCTCAAGAGAGAAAAGCCTTTAGAAACTAGTGGTAACAAGTATACCGCCACAATACCAAATACACTGGGCGACCAAAAAATAAACTAGATTCTTCAAGAAAACGACTTTGCCAAAAAATTAATTATTCTGAAGAAAAAATTAATGCAACTAAATGCTTTTCTCTTAAGGCTTGTGATCAAAAATTTTTCATTGTCTGAAAACGACATTTTTGAAAACCACGTCAGAGCTACGAAATTCATAAAACATTGATCTGTATTGCCTGTAAACACCTAAAATTTATATTTTATATTAAGAGCTGAGGGATGCAATTCCAGACAAATATTTTGCGCGCAGTTTAAAAGTTTCTCCTGAATAAGCAAAAAAATTGAACTTCTTGTAAGTTGTATTCGAGTTTTTTGCACTTTTTGTCAGCTCCACAAAAGCAATTAGGTACATCATATTATCAGTGGAAAACTAAAAAAAAAACATTTCACAATTTATTTCACAAAATTTCTGCAATATTGTTTTTTAAGTTTTCCTCTGTATATACTAGGCGGTATTTAAACGCAAGGTGGACATTTTAATGCTAAATATTTTTAAAACAAATTGTTGCAAAAATTTTGACAGCATTTGAATACGATGACACAATACTCAGCATTTGACGTTTCAGACAGTTGAATCTTGCAAAGCATTGTCAAAACTGATGGTTTTGATTTGACTGAGATTGGTCAATATATTTTTCACGTCAAGCTTTTTTTCATTGGCTCCATTTTCTCTGACCTGCAGTTCATTAATTAATAGGGACTGTCAACTTCAGTTGCTTACAAGAATTTGTTGAGAAAAAAAAACAACTTGCGTAACTCACCCGGCTTGCAAGTTAGATTGACATCTGGTGCAAATAGCCAAAGAAATATCGAAAGCGCTGGATCCAATTTTTATCTGAGGCGAAATTGAAACTGTGTGTTTTGACCCTCTGACGCGCAACAAAAATAGAATTTGGGGTGCGAGCAGAATAAATAGGTAAGTAAATTTCAATTTAACCATTATTGTTTTTGATTGTTCTTTTGCACTCCCAAAACAATTTTCATATTGCTCGAATGATTCCGTGAATTAAGTTTCAATTATTGCACATCAATAATTAATTAAGCCTCATTGCGTCTGAACCATCTCTGGGAATTATATACCAGGTATGTTCAAGTTTCATCTTAGTGTATAGTTGAGCGATGCAAAAAGCCATCATGCTCTATTTTGCTAAAGCATTCAGTTTTTTTGAAAATCAAAGCTACGCATCTTATATAATAACGGGCGTGCTGTCCAAGGAAGCAACACGCAACTAAAGCATAGATATCAAGAATTAATGCAGTCGAAAAAACAATAAGCACAAATTGATAGCACTGCAGTACAAAGCTCCCGGGTGAAATCGATTGTATGAATCCTTTTCCGTTGTTCTTTCTTGATGTCGTGCATGGAAATTCTTGAAAACCCTGAATAATCCGACTGCACTTTAAGGTCGATTCAAAAGTTTTTTGGTTGAAAAATGGAAGACATATGATTGAAAACAAAAGAAAAAAAACCCATTTTATCAATTTTCTACAGTTTATTCCCCCACACGCTAAGGTAAACTACGCTAATCGATCAAGAAAAGTTGTCTTGCTAGATCTTGCAAGATTGTTGCAAATTCTTGTAAACTAACCTAGTTTGAAATTTTTTTCACAAAAAATTATTTTATTATTCTAAGCACCAGAAAAATACCATAGAGATTCAGTTTGAGTGGGGTCAGAAAGAATTCAAAACTTTATATACATTTATTTCAAATTTAAATGGGCCAATTGTGCACTGAAAAGGCGCACAATTTTGTGTCAGTATGTTCCTGGATTCGAATCTTTAAAGATGTTCCTAAATGTAATTGGATTCCACATACAAAATTTTTGCGGACTCCGCATACAAATACCTGTAACGTGAATTTTATCGGCACATTTATTGTGTCGCGGATTTCGCAACAAGCTAATTTAGCTAGTTGTTCATGTTTCTATAACTGTAATTGAAGTTCGCAAAATGTAAGTGGCTTCCGAATTTTGTAAATTACTGAGCTTGCATATGAACCATTGAAAACTAGAGCTGGAATTGTTTGTTATCTATAGCAATGCGGAACTTATAAACAAGGACTTAACCATTGTCAGTGGAGTCTACGAACAAACCTTAAAACAATGCCCGGGTTGACCAAAAGTGCTAGTCATACAGTTTTCATTAAACAAAAAATGCTAATCATACACTTTTTCATGCAATTCCATAAGTACAAAAAATTGCATGAGAGGTCTATAATTAGTATTTTTTCATATATGGAAATTGTATGACTAGCATTTTTCCATCAACCAAAAATATTGATTTTTTACATTTAAATTTCTCATAGTTTTTTTGGTTGTGTTCGTAACCGAAAACAAGGGACATAAATCTTGGTTACTCAAACGTAGTAACCAAAGGTTTGCCCGTCTCGCATTAAAAATGCTTTGGAAACAGCCTGAAAAGTTTTAATTTGTCTCACACAAATAAAATAACGAAAACAACAAACTTTTATATTTTGGCAAAAAATTTCAAAAATGATTGTTTCTAAAATTTGAATTTCTAATTACTAGACATTGATCAAGGCATAGAAAAACATGTCATATCAAAAAAAGAGGAGTTTAAGTGTTTTTGAAAAAAAAATATGAGGAGAAAAGGAAAAAGATCCATTATTAGTATATCCAATGGTGGCAATTTTGGTGGCAATTTCAAAAACTCTTTGAAAAGTTTTTGTCGTCGCCATCAAAAACATGCTACTCATACATTTTCCATATATGGAAATTGTGTCATTACGAGGCCAAATTGTGCACTGGATAGGCGCACAATTTTGTGTCTGTATGTTCACAAGCAATTATAGCTAGTTGTTCTGGATTCCGCAACTGTAAGTGGATTCCGCAAAATGTGAGTGGATTTCGCAAATGCAAGCGATTCCCCAAACTGTAGAGGAATTCAGAAATTTGTTTATTACTGAACTTGCATCTGCACTTGCGGAATTTAAAAGCAAGGACTTAACCATTGTCAGCGGAATCCACGTACAAATCTTAAAAAATTGGTTAAATTAATCGATAGATGTCACATTTTTGTTTTGCAAGTTTATTTTGGGATCATAGTTTTGGAATCACTACACCGAATAAACTCAATGAGTTAATCCGGTAATAGGGTCAATTGTTTCGATAATTGGGATTCATTATTGGGTTGACATATCGCCGAGTTGGGTCAGTGTTTGGGATTCTGGATTTGAGATTCAGTAATTGGGATTTTGTATTTGAGAATCAGTATTTGGGAGCGTGAATTCAAATCATGAAAGTAGTTTTTGGGATGAGATGACAGAGTCCTGAAGAGATATCGCCAAATTAGTTCTGTATTTGGGATTCAGTAGTTAGGATTCAGTATTTGGGATTCAGTATTTGGGAGTATGGAATTCAAATCAAGAAAGTAGTTTTTAGGATGAGATTACAGAGTCCTGAAAAGATATCGCCAAATTAGTTCAGTATTTGGGATTCAGTAGTTAGGATTCAGTATTTGGGATTCAGAATTTGAGATTCAGTATTTGGGAGTGTGAATTCCTTTTATGAATATAGTATTTAGGATGAGATCACAGAGTGAAATCATGAGTCAGCTGTTCAAGTCTTTCTGAATAGCTAACTCACAATAATAAACAAATTTAGAGCTCTGAATGTCTAATTCTCAAGGAAATGTATATTCCTAAAGATATAACTTTAAGCGCTACTGCACATACATATACGTAAACGGAATCCGGATTCCACTTACAATTTGCGGATTCCACTTACAATTTGCGGATTCCACTTACAGTTTGCGGATTCCACTTACAACTTGCGGATTCCGCAACAGCTCAACTAAACTATACACATGTCTTTCTATTTGTTTGTGGATTCCGCAAATACGCTTGCGGATTCCGCAATTTTGCCTATTTTTGGAGCAATTTTGAACGGTACAGTGTTTTAGGTGTTTGTTTGTGGAATCCAAAACAGCAAAGAAGATCAAAGAAATGTAGCAATTTGGCTGATTCCGCGACAAATCTGATTTTGGCCTGTTGCAGAATCCGCATACAATGCACATAATGCACAATTTGGCCTCTGATCAGCATTTTTTTGACGAAAAGTTTTTCTTTTTTATGTAGTACGATACACCGAATTTTATGCCAAAACAAGAGAAACGTTTTTCGAAAATTCGACGACACCATTTTAGCAAAACGTATGAAATTTGTATGATCAGTTTTTTTTTCATAGACTTAGTTTATGGAATTGTATGATTAGCATTTTTGGTCTATGGAGGTCAACCCGGTGGTTAACTGAATCGGTGGATAAACACCCTCAGTATTTGGGATACATATCCCAGCAAGCATTTTTTTGGGGTAAGTTTTGAATTACAATACAGTTTGATCTAACAAAAGTAATGGGGTTAGATATCTGGGCGGATAACACTCGACTTGGCGGATTGAATAATGTCCGTTGTTATAAACATAGAAAGATTGTTGTTCTATGTCGAGTTCGTGTGTCGAACAATGTCCATTACAGGTATCCAAAGTTTACTTACTGTGAGTTGTATCATGTCCGCTTCCGACCCTGGCCGACATCTGTTTGCTTTTATGAATCTCGTCCAACTTGAACCCTAGTTGACAAAGGCTGATATAATTTGATTGAAGATTAATTTTCTTGCTTTCCAATCAATTGGATTTCCAAGCAAACGTAATTTTATCGCATCCGTTTTTTTTATCGTCATGGACCTTCCATTTTTGTATTGTCATTATTGAGTTATGACCTATTGGTTATACTCATAGAGTAATTTCAGATAAGGTACACTGTCTGCTCGTCACGCTATCTTATTTTCGGCCGGATAGATTCGTGCAACTTCTTAGTCTATTACCGATCTTACTCTTACTCTTTTATCTCCTAGTCTCATTAGATCTAGTGTATACTGGTTTATGCGAGTTAGTTCTTGGAGTTTATCCAGAAGGAGAACAACTGTATTCAAAGTATTATTTTAATTTTTCTGGTGCTGAAACAACAAGTAGTTTCAGCACTTACAAATAAGTGTAATTGTTAGAGATGGAATGTGATTGGTTAGTTATAAATAGTTTATTTTGGTATTCCATCATAAATGTTAAGGGTCTATAAACAATAGTTTAGAACTGGTTCCACCCATTCGGGGTTTAGAGAGTTTTTAGTTTTAAATTGTTTGATGTAGCGAAGGACGGGTGATGTAGTTTCTTTTTGAGGTTGCGAGCACTGACTTCTTGGAAAAAGGAGAAGTGTGGCTGTTTGTGTTTGACGGCGGAATAATGTTATGTTTGTGTTTCAAGATTGGTCTCATTGATCGTGGTAGTTTTGGTGATTGTGTCAAGACTTCTGATCGATGCAATGATGTATCGATTTTGTTAAGCTTAGAGCGAAACTACGTGCAGGGTGACTTTTCCGTGTGAAGTGCCAAGTGACTAGGATCGGTACGTGTAGTCAATATCGAGATGGGCAGTGGTCTGGTTCAATGGTTTTCTTTTGCTGCGATGTTGAGTCCATACTTTGAATCATTTGAGGGCAGTGACTTTAGGCAGCAAATCGAATAGATTTGCCATTCCGAAGTTGGAATGTAGTTGGGTTGTCATCTCTTTTGCTGCTCGTTTCTTGGCCTCTAAGAAATCTTTACATACAACTTTTCGGGTTTATATATTTAACTACATTTTTGTTAATTAAGTTTTAGTTAGGATTTGTTATTAATTGTTATCGCAAAAGCGTTTTACTTTAGCTCGGACATTTTTTAAGAGTCGCTCACACTAGACCAAATCTTGGCAAAAATAGAGTGGTGTAGCGCGGTGGGTTAAGCCGGCTCTAGAGCATGCTCTGTGTGACGTTGATTGGAATAACTGACATTTCGCTAAACTTCTTGTTGACGAATCGTAAATACCATATCAACGTCAAGAATACGTCAACCGTTCGAAATTGAAATGTTTGCGTTTGCCCAGCACGCAAAAACGCCTCCCAAACTTCTTAGCTTAGCAACTA